TATATATATATATATATATATATATATATATATATATATGATTGTACATATCTAGGTTAGAATTATGTTTCTGAATAAAAATCAATATTAATTTTGCAAAGGTACCTATACATAATTGCAAGAAAAATCTATAACTGATTTAACTTGTCGATAATTCTAATGATTTTTTTTAAAAATCGAAAAAAATGCGAATAATTTTGCACTTTGTTCACTTGTCGAGTACGAGTGTCAATATTGATTGTTAATAATTATTCCTGTGATAAGCACATTTTACGAATTGCGTCCAATGATAAAAATAGACGACGTTCTGTAAATGTCATTAAAGATTAGAGCATTACAATTTATAATAATCGATTCGATATTTTTTAATTCATCGGATTAGTGCACTATGACGTTGCTACCACCGACGGCAGAGCAGCAGAAACGGATAAACGAAGAGGTTTCGACAGATCCAGAAACGAGGAAACGCGATGTGGCTGCCATACGCGAGTGGCTCTCAAAACAACCTCATCTGCCTAATCATATGGGTCTGAGTTTCTTTCTATCCTGCGAATTGATTTAAATGGAAATTAAATAAAAAAATTAAAAAATAAAGAATAAGTTTAAGAAATTTTGACAAATTTATTTTAAATTTTGTTTGATCTTAAAAATATTATTTAAGTCAAACAAGAAATATTTTGAATTGAATATGTAATTCTATTTTCTTTTTTCTCTATTTTTGGTAAAATTACTATTTAAAATTCCACACTAGGAATATTAAATTGAATACAATTTTTACTTTTCTTTATTTTCAATAAAATTATCTATTATTCGAAACAATTAAATTTACAATATAATTTTTTAAGAAAAGAATTATTAAAAATTCGCCTTTACTTTGAACTACTGTGTTATGAAAATTCGCAATTGTTTAAATGCAGACGATACGAGGCTCGAGAGATTTCTGTTTGGCTGCAAAAATAGCATAGAAAGATGCAAATTGATTTTGGAACGATATTTCAGCGTACGTACCGCAATTCCAGAATTTTTCGCCGTTCGAGATCCGCTTGCACGAGAAATTCAAGAATGCTGCGAAGCGATGTAACTATTTGATTAATTAATTTGTGATTTTCATTTCTTTGGAATTTAATTTAATATATTTTCTTAATTAGCCAATATTTTATTTTACCATCATTAACGGACGAAGGACACCGCGTGACCATTTTACGATTAAAGGACAATACGATAGATAAATTTTCTATTCAGACTATCTCTAGAAGAATTCTTATGGTCCTGGATACTCGTCTGATGGAAGAACAATGTCTGTCAAATATTATGGTGATCGATCTCGAGGTAATTGCAAAATTAATGTTAATTTTAAATTACAAATCTTTTTTTTTATATTTGTATCGTTATATCATTTTATTATTGAAATTTCAAATCGGACAGGGATTTGGTATGGTTCATTTTACGAAATGCAGTCCAACTCAGAGCATTGTTCGTAAGGCAATGTTGGCAATGCAAGATAGCATGCCATTACGACTTCATAGAGTTCACTTTCTTCACGCTCCTGCATTCATAGAAAGTATTCTAAATATATTTTATCCTCTATTGAAAGTTCGACTTGTTCAAAAAGTGAGTGGTATTTAAGTATTTAAAATATAAACTATTAGTTTTTATTTTTATTTTTTTATGAATATTTGCTATTTTTAAGTTTCGTATTCACACCGGTGGTGGTGAAGAATTGCACTCTTATATGAACAAAGATATACTCCCAAATGAATGGGGTGGGAAAGCAGGCACTTTGGATAAGTTGAATGGTTTGTTAAAATTTTTAATTGTTCATATGATTACATATTTGAGAAAATTATTTTTATCTTTCCTTTCTTTTACTCAAATAATATTTTTAGACGCATGGAAAAAGAAAATTGAGAAAAACAGGGATTGGTTTTTGCGAGAGGAAAAGCTCAGTCGAACAAACGAAAATGCTAGACTTCCAGAATCAAAAACGAGACTTTTAAAAGAATTAGAAGGATTACAGGGTTCTTTCAGACAATTAAATATTGATTAAGATCTCTTGAATATATTTTCTATATAAATTTATTTTTGTTTATTTTTTATTTTTATTATATTTTTATATTGTATTTAAGATTGTGCATACTTAATAAAAAAATATTAAAATAAAAAATGTTATTTCATATTTTTGAATATGTATATAAATGATTTAAAACTTATTATCCCTTATACTTTTAAATTTTATCTTAAATTTTACGAAGTATAGAGAAGGAGAGAAAATGGTAGAAGAAGGACAGAGATAGGATAAAAATATGGAAATCAGCGCCATCTTCAGAGTGCCGCAAATGAAACTTAATACACAAGGACAGAAAATAATAAAAAAGGATAGAAACAAAAAAGAATTGACTTTTAGCGCCATCTTTTGGCTATCATACATATCTCTTCAAAATACAGGATAAGGTAGAGTAAGAATTTAGAATCAACGCCATCTCTCAGTTATTTTTAGAAAGTATCCAATCGTATAATATTGTTATTAATCAACAGATGGCGTTGATTGCTAATTCTGGCTCTATATTATCTTCTATCTGTTTTTGAAAAAATACCTCTGATAATCAAAAGATGGCGCTGAGAGTCAATTCTGATTGTATCTCTATCCTTTTTCTTTTATTTTCTATCCTTATATATTGAGTTTCATTTGCGGCACTCTGAAGATGGCGCTGATTTCCGTATTTTTATTCTATCTCTGTCCTTCTCCCACCATTTTCTCTCCTTGTTTATACTTGCTATGCAAAGTTTATGCATTCAAGAAATGGCTCCGATATTTCATTAACTTTATAATTTTTTTCCTTCAATTATTGATTAAAAATCTTAATAGAATCATTTTAATAGAATTTATTTCTATTTTCTGATTTTTAAAAAACCTTTCATAGTATTGATTTTTATAACATATTTAAAAATCATTGAAATCAATAGGGATACACTTTTCCTACAAGTTTCTCTTGTATCATTAAAATCCTGTATACGAGATGAAGATATAAAAAAAAAACTCTGATTAATAAAAACACTTTCGTTCAACGATTGCTTATTAAAATTATTCTTATCAAAGCCTTTTTCATGCTCGAATTCATTTTCTCTTCAATTCATATTCTCATTTTCAATCATATATATATATATTCATAATGTATCTGAAATTTTCATATGCAATATAGAAATCACTTCTTAATTGTATCATTAATTTTATCATAAATTTTTTTCCATTTAATTCGCATGAAATTAATTCCATTTTAAAATCATTCTTAATCGTTTTTTTCTATTAGAAAACTTTTGCAACTTTTTCATTCACAATTATTATAAATTTATTTATAATACTCTATCTCTTAAAAAGGCAACTTTCTTAAAAAATTTCTAAATCTCGCTTGATTTTTTTCATCTCAATTCGAAATTCATTTTCAATTATCATGATGTCTTATATCCCCAAAAATATTTATTTTGTAGTTGATTAAATAAACGAATAATTAATAAATAAAAACCGACTTAAATATATCGATTAAATAAAAAATAAATACATATTCGATCTTAATACGACGATCAGTTAGACGTATTGCAACATGTTCCAAGTTGTTGCGTTTATCAGTCCTATACACAATTTAAACTGTGTTACTTAACAATCAACTTCAAACACTTAAGTCCACCTCAGTGTCTGTCTTCTTTCGTGTTCGTTTAACGGACTTGATGAGCTAATGGTAGCCCAAGCTGAGGCACAACAGCAATGCAGAAATCCCTTTCGGCTGTAATCTTGCGGATTGTTTGCTCGTAGCCGTGAATCGCGTCAACATCGAGTATAAGATCCACGACAGTTGTAGTTGGCACAAAGGAAAAACAGTTGTTGTCAATTATCATGCGAAGGTGCAGCATCGTTCGTGAGGAGCGCAGAAAAAAGTGCGTTTTTTCGGGATCGACGGTGAAAACGTGTCGTGGATAACAGGTAAGCGTTTCATCACTATAGAATATAGAAAATATCACCTACGAATAAAAAAAATATATAAAAATATAAACAAAGAATACAAAATATTATTATTGCATACCTCAAATCTCAAAGGAATTTTTACATTTTAAACTTTACTATGATATTTTAATTTGAATGAAAAAAAATTGCAAAGAAATTGCAATTTGCTTTAATATTCAGATAATGAAATTACCAAAGTTTTACTAGATTTATAACCTTTGTTTTGTTATTTCTAACAAAAAGAAAATATAAAATGCATAAAAGGATGCAAGAAGGCGCAACATCTCGAAGTCATTGAAACATTCGACGTCAGCGTTTCAATTCAATTACTGCGCAAAAGGTGCATCGCGATTGAAATGGAATAAAGCATTCCGCGATTAATAAAATTCATTGGAATATATTTTCCTAGCCGTTTTCTATAGCCTTCTATATCACGCAATTTGAAATTTATGCATTACGCTAAAATGGACATTTTTCTTAAGTTTTCTTAAGAAGTAATGCATTATATAAGCATTATTCCAATTACATGGATGTGTGTCTTAACGAGCTGGAACGAACAATTAATTAATCGATTAAATAGTACTATTTGAATGGATTGCATAACGAAATGTTTCATGTTTTCTTTACCTATGCGACAGTCGTTTCAATTCTGATTTCAATTTTACAATATTACAAGCAATATAATTTCTTGAAGCAAATCTATAAACAAAATAAATAAATTTCAAAATAAATGTTCAAAAAATGAAAATTCGATTATAATCTATAAAGCGATTCAAATATTATAATTTTCAAGTTTACTATAGTTTCAAAAACAATTTCGGTTCTTGAAGCTTTAATATTATTTCCCAAAACAACTTCAATATTGCAATTACAATGAAATTCATTCATTCATAACTATATACCATAGTTCCCAGACTCTTTGCCAATTTCATTGCGAAACTTTTATAAAATGAGTTTACAAATGTAAGCAAAAATAGTATTCCAATCCTTGGAAGTCTTTTTGCCACGTTGCATCGAGTAACAACTAGGTTATCCACTTCTTCCTTTTCCTTTTCTAGTTTAAGCAACCCTAGTCACCTTTCCTAAGATTAAGATTCTCTATCATCGTCTCTTTGCGATATTCAAGACATTCCTTATTCTGTCAAATATTTCAATATGTGATTATCTCTGCATCTCTTAAAAATCCAAAAAGAAATCTCCGAAACATCGTCGATCGTTAGAATTCTAAAACTGAAAATTGGCCCAAGGGCGATCGATTAGACAAGTACAATTAATTCGGTTAATTTAATGATGGCGACTGTGACCGCCAGATATACAATCCTATCTTGCCGCACTGTACAAGGGTGGATTGATTTTTCACCCTCTGACGTCACGAGCGAGGCTAGCATGCGCGTGAAACAGATGCCAACCGTTCCAACGCTTTTTTATTTCCACATCTCAACTTCTTCTTTTGCGTAATCTGCCGTCTGATATCCCTTTATCGAAGTCCTATAATCTCGAAGATCAAAATCAAATACTTTCCTAATTCACAATTCGAAACAACTGGTTAATATTTGCTTTTAAATTCAAAACATGGAAAAATTAATTTTAATATATGTATAAATTAGATTAAATATATTATATTTTGTAAAACAGAATTTTAGATTTGAAAAAATCTATTAGATTTCTAAAAGACAATAATCATTTTATTATCTTAATTCATCAAAAATTAAATATACGCGAATATCAAATAAAAAAAAATATAATAAGTATTTCAAAGGCAACGTTATATCAAGATAAATCATTATCGTACTTTAATAATAAATATTAAAATCTTTTAATAACTGCAATTAAATGCTAACTGTTATGACATAAATCATTGACATCATAGTTGACATTCAAAATCTCTTTAAAACAGATAAGTTAGTAGAGGAAGAAAGAATAAAAGGATGATATATTGGAATAGTCGTGGCAAGGGAACGAAATAAGACATATCGGAGTTAGAGACGAGTTCATTCAATGTCGCACGGTTGGTCGACTGCTTGTTGTTTTCTCTCGCTCGAACTCTCCTCAATGCCTATATTTCTCTCCTTTCCTGTCTCGATGATTCTCCCTTCCTGTGGCGCTTTGATTCCCTCTTCCTCCAGCTGATTTAGAGGGATAGCGAATTCGTCGTCGACGATCGAGCTGATCCTTTGAACGTGCATATGTGCATTGTCGAAACGATGGGATATATTTCTAAGATTCTATTTCTAGGATCTTAACTATGATCGACTATCTGTGCATGCATTTTCTATTTGCTTGAAGATATTATTCCATTTTCTTATCAAAATAAAATTTCTTTGAGTAATAGTGCACAATTTTTTTTATTTATTTTGAATAATTGGAGATAACTAATCTTTTTTAATCTTTAAGAAATTCGTTTGGAAATAAAAAATAAATAAAATTTAATATAATAATAATCACTGTATGCAAAGCATAAATCTCCATCTGTAATGAATTATTACTAAATTTTTCATTCAATATTTTATATTTTATACTTGTCAATTAAATAATAAAGAAATATATAGTAAAAAAAAATGGAAAAAATTATAATATACTATATTCATATTCACTACAAAAAATTATAGTATCTATAATCGTTCATAGTAAATATTTAACGATTAATTACCTTTAATCTTTTCAATATGTATTTATAGGTGTCATATTAGTCAAAGAATTATAAAAGATATCCAGATTTAATTCCATTTTGTTTTCCAATCAGAATTTCACGAAATTCCATTCATATTCTCTAAATTATTAAAAATGTTTGATTAAATTTCAATACGTATTACATTTAAAAGAAAAAAAAGTATCACAGATTGTTCAACCAAATGTCAATATTGAGACGAACTAAACGTGACCGTCGAACGACGAGGGCCGATCTAAATCCATGAGGGCTGTTTACCACGCTCGACTGCTTCATCTGCTCCCCACTTCGATTCGCCAGGACGTCAGCTGGAACTTGCGTGGTGCGTCCTGGGTGTGCAGCGTGCCGCTGCAGCTTCTAGTCCATTGTCACGATTCGAAAGACGATAGAGACAGAAGGAAAAGAAAAAAAACTTGCGGTGAAAACTATCGACTAATCAGACTGCGTTTCAATAAGGCTTGTATCATCGAGCTTGGACCTACGTAACCTCACTTTTGTCACTTCGTTCGTCCCGTTTTTCATTTCGTATCATAAACTCGCGTTAGTGGAATACAAGTTTATGGACTCGTCTTTCTTTAACAAAGACACTGTCCCATTAAATATCACAGTGCGTGTAAATAGATGTGATTTCGTGCATTTATAAGATTCGTTTCATGCAAGGTGGTATATGTAATACGTTGCGGACATAGACGGTACGGGCGTCGAAACTGTCGCATGTTCTCGCGTTTCACTGTGCCCGAAGAAACCGGCGTGAATGTTCGTATTAATTGGATAGTGTATGTTGATGAAACATCTTTTTCTGTGCCGATTCGTTGGAGTGAATATATATTAGAAGACAGAAAAATAAAAACAAGAACACTGCCAGTATCAAAATCGTTTGTCAAATAAATCAATCATCTTCTAATTTGGTAAGTGAAACAATTTAAATTTGAACATTGCAATGACGCAGAACATACATATACGTTTATTAGATGCATTCAATTGACATATCAATCTAGTAGTTGATTGTTAACTGTTGCTGTTTATAAAAGTTTCTAAAGAATTATTTAAGTGTTTTATTTTCTGAGAGAAACTAGACTCCATGCGAAAACATCATTATGTGTCAATTATTCGTATCAGTGTTCTCTATACTCTCCTCTTTGTCTAACCTTTGTTCTAACTTATGTAAGAGACCACACTGCGTGCAGGCTATGTCTCTGGCGTAATACGTTGTTCGAAACGATCACACGTGAATTTTTTCCTATTTTTATAGAAAATCTAATTTATCTAATTTCATTCTTTGAAAAGAACTCCAATAATATCTTGTTAAAGCAATCTTGATAGATGTCTCCTTGTGAGTCAACAGCTGATTGATATATCTATAACGAGCAAATTCTATATGATAAATGTAAAATAAAGATTTAATATCGAAACGAAATTTAATTTGAAAAATATGTCTTTGTTAAATTCTTGATGTTGCAATCCTTGAAAAAATATATTAGAAATACCTTTGTTTAGTGAAAATTTGATTTCTATTATGCTGAATCATATATTAATAGTTTATATGTCGAGATATATGTTAATTAATTGTTCGATTGGTCAGATGCATAGATAATTAAGTTAGAATTTCTAAATAGTATTCCAGCCTGAAAATGATAGAAGAGTAGCGAACGTAATCGCGTGAGCGTCGAAAACGATTAGCCGTTAAAAGAGGTCGGCAATAGGAGCAGCGTTTACTTAATTAATGCGGTCGCTACGCGGCTCGTTGACCCCGCTGCAATTCTCGGACTCTTGGATTGTCCTTCGACGAAATTGATTTACCGGCCGGGCAGGGACAAATGCTGTTCCTCCGTCGATTCAAATGCGCCATCATTTTTTTTTTCTTTTCTTTTTTTCATTTCTTTTTTATACTCTGCTTTACCTCTTTTCGCTCGTTTTGCTGACCTCTCGACAATTTTGTTCTTCTGCAATGCGTCAACGGACTTTCTGCACGCAATATATGTTCATATCACCTTGAAGTTTAGTTTTCAACAGTTCCGTAAAACGGATTTCGATAAAATTATTCAATTTAATCAAAAATTAGAGTGATTATTATAATAATAGACTAATCAACATGATATTCTAAATAACAGAAATTGTTGTATATATTTTAAAGAAGGAATTTTTTGTATATAATTCTAGATGGAAGTTGAAGATCGTCAATAGGTTATGTATGAATCAAATAAGAAAAATTTAATTTGATTATAAAAAGTCATTATTGAAGATATACGATTTAAAAGTCAAGAATTGTCTCAAGAATTGATATATTGTGAACATTGAATAAAGGAACAAATATTAGTAAATTGAAATGAATTTAAGGAAAAACATATAAAGCGTAATTTGTTTATTTGTCCTGTGATGAATTCTTATTCATGTGCAATTATCTATATGTATATATTTGCATAATTCACTTCTCTTTAAATGATTAATTCAAGAGTTCGTCACACAAAATAATTTTTCCTTCATCTTAGATAACAAGGCCTTGAGATAACGCTGCCTGAAATCTACGGAAAAAGGAAATCATCAGTTTCTCCAAATATATCGAAAGTTTAAATGCTTTTCGGTTGAAATCATTTTCTGATACCTACCGAGCCTCGACCTAGTTGGGAAGTTTCATTCAAAGCCGCTGCGTAATACCCAAAGTGTTCCTTCGTCGTGAATGAACCGTTCGAAATTAATCGTTCACCCTGCTGAAATAAAACGAAAACGAGTAGAATGCTAACATTTATGGACTAATGTCATTCGTAAATAAAATCTAAATAGTAATTCAAAATAAAAAATAATAGAATAAGAAAGATAGAATTAAGAATTAATAGGAATTTAGATAATAAATTAAAAAATCGATGGATTTTATTCTTGAAGATAAGAAACAAGATTTTAGTGTTAACCTTTTTATGTATATTTATTGTATTTGTATATATTTATATGTATTTATTATTTTTTGTATTATTTATTTACATATATAATATTAAGTAGTATCTTTTTTTAATGTAAAAAGGATATTTTAGCTTATTTTTTTTTTTTTTAGTTTTTAGCGTAATTTAAAGTAATTATATATATAATATGTAAAATTATAACATTTATACTCTTATAAGTTACAATATATTTATTCTTATTAAATAAATGATACAAAACAATCTTTAAATTTTATAGAATTTATAATGAATCTAAATTCAAAGGAAAAAGAATTATTGTAAAAATAGTAATCAATTCTTTAAAACATAATTTTTTATTTTACATATGAATATTATTCTATATTAAAATTAAAAAAATCAATTGATTTTTAATTTAGAAATTCATTTGTAGATCATTCCTTGTTTTATTGTTAAATTTTTTTTATATAACAGAATTTATTAACTTCGATAATCTATAACCTATAAAATTTAGCTAATAATTTTCAATTTTTTAAGATCTAGAAAATAACTATTAAAATGGAAAATCATAATCATGATATGTGATTGAAAATCGATTGCTTGCAAAAATTCTCTACACTTATTTTTAAATTAACAATCGCACAATGAGTTCAAATGCATTATATCCTTTTCATCCTTCGAATCGTTGATCGTTTCCGATTGTTTGGTAATTCATTGCAATAGTGACAATCTTCATACGCCACGTAATCGCGAGCTATCGCAGATCGATAAGACCTTGCGAGAAATCGACAACAACTTGTAATATGAGTTGCGACAATGGAAACGATATTTAATTATCGATGCATAAGTAATCGTGCGATTCTCGACTGCGCCGCCATTATCGATTATCTTGTTCTTCAAAATTCGATCTTTTTTCTTCTTTTTCTTCAATGATTTGTTGGAAAGTTTTCTTGAGTGTTCGGTTAGTATATAATTGCCTCGCGAAATTTTTTTTTCTTTTTAAGTAATTATTTTAATAATTTATATTTTGTTTTATCTAATAAAAAATTTCTTTTTTTTATTATATATTAAATAATTTTTATTATTAAATTTATATGTCAAACTTACTTAAATATTCGTATTTAGATACATATTTATTAAATAATTAATAACATGACTTGATATTAATCTTCAATAATTGAAAAATTAATATTTACTTTAGATTTACAAGTAATCTAATTATTAAAATAAAGAATTCTTATTCGCAAAATAGATTCATATATATAATTTTCACATCATGATGTGGTGATTATTCTGCATACACGTTATAAACATATCATTTAGTGATTATCGATGTGTCCGCATAAAATATAGGTTTTATAGTATAGCCAGGGATGGAATAACATTGCTTCTCCTGTCACGCGACTGTCTCACCTGTCTTATACTCTTATTTATATTTGACGGTAATTGGTCGAATCGTAAATATAATATATCTGCTTATTTTTTTGGTGCATTTTTTATGTAAATTTCGATCTTATTAGATATTTTCTTTGGTTAAATATGTACCTACATTATACAAATAAAAAAAGTCCATTTAGTAAAAATGATCAAACATGGAATAAAAACAAATTTATTTAATGTTGATAGAGGTTTTTTTTTTAATCTTTTATGTCCAATATTGCATACATGCAATATTGTAATATTAATTTACTTAGTATGAAATGAAATAATTAAATAAATATATTTCTTATATTTTTCTATCTTTTTTATAAAAAAATTATAAGAAAATGTTTCTGTTATTAATAATTGATTTTTTTTAGCTATCTCTAATATAAATAAATTCTAAAAGAATTTTTTTATCATTTTTTTCTGAAAAGAAAATTTGAGGTTATAATTTTTTTTCATCGAAAATTGATTTTATAGTTTGTTTAAATTGTTAATAATAAAATATCAATACAAAGTGATTACAATCTACTTAAAATCTACGCAAAGGAAACCAACGTTTAATCTATTCAAGTATTTCGTGACGAATCAAGATCTTTACTGTTTCCACATTCGGATTGATCTAATCTATGTATAACCGAACCGAACGTCACAAATTGTCTTGAAAATATCTTGGGTTTCGTGCCTAGTATAAATTAGAAGCCAGTAAGTTTCGGTGAAAATTGGTGCGAACCGGACCAAGCGAAGATTCAAAGTTCGGTTAAAAAGCACTGTGACACGATCTGTGACAGTCATCTCATAGACCGTCGATGGTTCAAGCCTCGTCCGCGAACAGGACAAATCCCTTGTGTCCATAGTTCGGTTCAGGGTTAAGGTGATAAGCTAAGGTTGAGGTTGAAGTAACGAACGTTCGATACTAAATATAGTGAAGGCGCTTGCGGGGTCAAATCAATAGGCATTCTGCGTATACATGTATATTCACGGTGCCTGGACGTCTGAACGTTGCACGTAAGCTTAAAATAATCTATTCACGCCTACGTGACCGAACGACATAGTGTCTGCACGTGTCTGCATCGTTATCAGCGACTTACTAATTTTGCGTTGAAACGCCAATTTGGAACGTAGACCCACATTCAAGAGTTCATTGAAATACTTTTCTGTTCAAGAGTTCATTGAAATATTTTTCTGTTCAAGATCTGGTCTCATTTTTGTTTTGGAAAATAGGATGCAGCGAAAAAATCTTGATATTACTTGAGATTTTTAATAATTAGTTGATAATTACTTTTGCATTAAAGTAATATACTCTTAACTTAACTTTTAATCCTTTGAAATGAATTTTATTAATGATTTCTGATTTTTATATTATAGTTTAATTTATAAAAATTACCTCAAATTTACATTTTGTTTTTGCATTTTAATTTCTCATAAGATTCACTTCATAATTTCTTATTTACAAATTTGTATTTGTCTTGAATTATTTTATACATAAAATCTCTTTCTTTCGCAAAAATCCAATTAATCTTAAAAAAAGGAAAAAAAATCATAAAAAGTAAAATACCAATCATACACATTCTAAGACGATAATAATCTATGTTATACAATTTAGTTATACAATTATATCATGCGACGAAGATCTTTATGTGAAACCTATCGATACTTGCCTGTTTGTATCTAAATAATTTTTTTTCTTCCAATTTCTAATTATTAGAAATTTTTCTAAAGATATCGCGTGCAAATCCACCGGCATTCACGATATATGTATAAATTTCAGGATTGTTAGCTCGAGAAAGGGACCGCGAGGAACGACGCGCGGCATCATCTTTGATTCTGTGAAGATCGGATGTGGACATTGCGCCATTCGATCAGCGGAACGGTAGCAACGGAGGTAACCGCGTGTTCAAACGACCTGGCACGTGGGTGGGTGTATTGGATGAGAAGGGGTGATTGTCGGTGATGGACAATGAGCAGCCGCATCAGGAACTGGTCAAGTGTGTGGTCGTCGGCGACACGGCAGTTGGAAAGACCAGGCTGATATGCGCAAGGGCCTGCAATAAACACGTGTCACTTTCGCAACTTTTGACAACTCACGTGCCCACCGTTTGGGCCATCGACCAATACAGGATATACAAAGACGTAAGTTCATGAGGTTCTTGACAATTGCGCTTAATATGTTGTAGGTGTCCGTAAATTGTTCGGTAAGAATTCAATTTGGTAATTGCGATCATTTTAATAGAGTATCCGCGGATTCAATATCTGCGATTTTAGTTATCCACGGTTAACCGCGAGTATAAGTAATCGCTTTTGCAATTTTGTTTTCTGATCTGAACATACCTGAAAAAAAAAACAATTGACCTTAAAATTCAAGTAATTAATATATTAGTTAATAATTTCATCGAGATTTTAAAGTCGTAAGAATTATTTGAACAAGAAATTGTAAAAATACGAATAAATAAAAAATTCTACTAATCTGCAATTGTTTTTTGATTAATATTTTTCTTCAATATTGAGAAATGAATGATTACATGTAATGTTGCATATAGATTGCATTTAATATAATGAATAAGTAATTAATTTGCAATTGAAGAATGAGTTTCACGTTTCAGAATTTTTAATCTGAGAATAAATATTTATACTTACTCTAAAATTATTATTCCAGAAGATTTCGAATTTCCGTATTATATTTTCATCTTCACGAAAATCTCTGTGTATAGATTTTATGTCTAATTAATTTAAACAAATGTTACATTTTATTATCAGTGTTCTTGTTCATACATAATTTCTATTGTTAATTTATTTATAAATATCAAAAATGATTATGATTATGAAAATATGACAAAAATATGATTTATTTTAATCCATCAGGTCTTAGAACGATCCTGGGAAGTAGTCGATAATGTGAATGTCTCTCTGCGACTTTGGGACACATTTGGTGACCACGAAAAAGATCGACGTTTCGCGTACGGCAGGTAAAATTATCAAATAATTATCTCAACAAATTTCTATTCTGTTTTTTAATCATGGATTTCATAATCATTTTTTCACTAAAAAAAATGAATTTCGATTTTTGCAATTATCTCTTTCTCTTCTCATTTTTAAATAACAAAAAATATTATTAAATATTCTAAATGGTATCACAATTAATTAAAAAAAAAAATCGAATTCTACAAATACAGATCAGACGTCGTGCTACTATGTTTCTCCATAACCAATCCCGTTTCGCTGCGGAATTGCAAGGCGATGTGGTACCCAGAAATACGACGGTTCTGCCCGCAGACTCCTGTGCTGTTAGTGGGATGCAAGAACGATCTGCGTTACATGTATCGAGATGAAACTTATTTGAGCTATTTTCGTGATCGAAGTCCGTTCGTGAGGTACATTATCTTTACCAATAACTATGTTTAACCGCATTTTCCTTTTCCGTATTTAGAAGCAACACACCTTTCTCAGATCGATTTTTTCATTCTATATTGG